AGGAAAGGAACTGCATAGGATCTTGGACCTAGAGGCCGGGTGAGTCCCAGAGATGCGGCTGTTTACTGATATGGCTCTTCTGCCTCTGGAAATTTGGCTTTACAATATACTGACAGTCACATCAGGCAAACATAGTGGAGATGGAGGGCTCCAAGGAACAGGATATTAGATTATCCTCACCAGTCTCCTAAACTTAACCTTGGAAAGGAAGAGAACAAGGTCACCAATGAGGTGCCAGGCCAGTGCTGGGACTCTAAATCTGGGGAAACATAGGAAAGGGAATGAAACCTGGCTCCTAATTTTAAGAGGCCAAAGAGGGGTGCCATCGGCTCCATTTAACATTCACAAAGCTGCAGTGCTATAAAACTAAGATTGCTTTTCCAAATCTATCGTGTGCAAATCAATTTGAATTAGCCATGTTCTCTTTAGCATCAAATAGTACTTGGATCTGGAATATCTTCATTAACTATAAGCAGCTTTTTTCATGTCAGCCTGTCACTCAAAAATACCAATAGTAATAATAATAATAATAATAATAATAATAAACATTTACTGAAAATCTAGATGCCACTCCCATTCTATGTTGCTTGCGTACATTTTCTTATTTAAGTTTTATAATAAACCCGGTGAGATATATACTTCTCTTATTTTGCAGATGAGGCTGTTAAGGCTGAAAATCATTTGTCTAAGATGCGTGTAATTTTAGAGTTATGTGTTTCTGATCATTACTCTGTAAAGCCTCCTTTTGTATTGCTCAGAGGCACCTGCCTTCCTGGGACTGTGCTTAGGTTCAGCCTTCATCTTTTCTCCATCTGCAGGAAGCAGTCATTATAGAATCTGTTTTATTTTATTTAAAAATCATTTTCTTCTGCGTTTTATCGAGTATTGCAAATCAGTTCCTCCAGACAAGATGGTAAGGTATTTGAGTCCTCCGTTTCTATTGAATTGACTAATGAATATATAAAAAAACCCCTTTATCAGCTATGGAAACCAGGGATTTATGCCAATCACAAGCTGTGACACCAAAGAATTTCTGAAATCTCTGTAATAGGATTTGGACTGAAAAAAGTCTACATAGAGCCTCCTGTCTAAGAAAAAGTATTGACTTGGAGAAGTAGGTACTGGAAGTGAAATCAGGCTGTGGGGGCATTCGGTGCTCATGATTTCCAGAAAATGTAGAATAGGTCCCCAAATTGGCTCATCAGGTTGCACTGGTGAGCTCTGGAGCTTACTCCTGAAACATGTAGCACCATGCAAAGATCTGCATATTATGAAGAATTCATCTTGATTCCAAAGAGTTACATCCAGCAGGGATGGACTTACAACAGGGTGAGTAAAGTTTGTTTTACTGATATCTCAGCTAGAACATCTATGGCTAAAAATGTACCTTTACATAATATGTTGGCTTTGTCCTTTACATTTCACCATCATCCCCCTAATTTTGGCGCCTTTGCAGTGGTCACGTCAATGTCTTCATTGGCCCTGAGGTTCTTTCAGGGACATTTAAAAAAATTTCCTCTGGCTTTCCTTCCTAACTCTAAACTTGGAAATACAATTGTAATTTCTATTTTTACTGAGTTGTGGTCAAATAATATGGCTATAGAATTTATCCATTTTGAATTTATTAAAGCTTTATTTGTTGCTTAATAGTAAATAAAAATTTGAAATACTGCATAGGGTTATATTCTCAGTGGAATGCTAAGTTTAGCCTTTCTCTCTGTTTTTCTCGTTTACCTCTTATAACCTGACTAATTATATGGGTCAATCTTATGTAACATTGTTTGTGATTATCACAGATTGTGAGTGCCTTATTAAATTTCTCACTATTTTCATTTATGTATTTTGCAATTAAAATCGCTTTTTTTTTTTTTTTTTTTTTTGAGACGGAGTTTCGCTCCTGTTACCCAGGCTGGAGTGCAATGACGCAATCTCGGCTCATCGCAACCTCCGCCTCCTGGGTTCAGGCAATTCTCCTGCCTCAGCCTCCTGAGCAGCTGGGATTACAGGCACGCGCCACCGTGCCCAGCTAATTTTTTTGTATTTTTAGTAGAGACGGGGTTTCACCATGTTGACCAGGATGGTCTTGATCTCTTGACCTCGTGATCCACCCACCTTGGCCTCCCAAAGTTCTGCGATTATAGGCGTGAGCCACCGCGCCCGACCTAAAATCGCTTTTGAAAATATCATTGAAATATAAAATTATTATGACTTGCGAAATTATGACTTACAGTATTATTAATTCTTAATTATCAATATGAGAAGTATAGGTAGCATTTAATGTTTTAGTCCTATTCCCATTCTCATTTTCTTTGCACTTACCTCATATGTCCTAAGTAAATCTTTTGGCTTTTAATGTTTCTACGTCATTTACTTCACGTTTCACTTATAGGTAATATATCGTTGTATTTTTAAACTTTATCTGAGGAGATTTTTGTTTCTTTTTACTCAGAAGGTTTAACCGTTTATGTTGAATCATATAACATTTGATCCCTTCAACTTATTTGTTTAATGTTTTCTCTTATTAGTTTTTTAAACTTATGATTTTCAGTTTTTAAATTTGTTGTATGGGAATTTTTTTTTGTTATTTTCTTCTGGAGGTGTTTGCAAAGTAGGTCTATCATGATTAATTCTATAAGGGGTTACCTTAAAGGTTGTCAATGGCAATCTTAAATATGCGAAGTTATTTACTTTCATACAAAACGCATTTTCCACTCTCCCTTGTGGTGGTGAGGTGTGGTGCTTTGGCTGTACCACCTGCCCTCCCCCCTGCTCCAAAGGAAATAAGTTTTAAAACTTGTTAAAATGTCACTTTCAAGAAGGTCTAGTCTTGCTAGTGAGTTCTTTCTAACTGGCAAATATAAACTAATTATAATGCTGCATAAATCATTTCAGAATATGGAAATATGCTCATTTTCTGAATCTAGCATAATTGATATCAACATTTCTACTTTGTAGAAGTGTTATGAAGACAAAGTGAAATAATAAATGTAATGCTCTTAGCATAATATCTAGTATATATTTAGTACTTATTGTTATTTCTTGTATCAATAGAGAATCAAACAACTATTAAACACTCATTCCTGATAAAACTCTTTAAAAATTAGGATAAGAAAGATGCAGATTATAGTCCATTTGGTTAATAAAAGTTTTCAAATATTTCTATAAAACCACCAGAATATAGTTTTTCTTCTCTTGACTTGGGCATATAATGTCTTCCTCCTTGAAATCACTTGAAAATTGTATTTAAAATACAGATTCTTGGGCCTTACTCCAAGCTGCTTGAACCAGAATACCTAAGAAAGAAGTGGGGTGATTTCTTTTCATAAGTATCCCAGGTGATCTTGCTGAATAAGGAAATTTGGGGAGCACCACAGATCTAGCACTGGGGATTTTAGATCTTATTGTTTTGGCTTTATTTGATAAATGTGAAGTGATTATTAAAACACGTAGCATGGAATAATACTTCCTTCCAACTCAAAGCAAATAACATTAAAATGAATTAGAAAGGCCCTTTAAACACTGTTTTAAAAGATCTAAATATCACCAGTATCTAACGTCTTTCTTAGCCGAGAAACAGAGGAAATACTCTTAATAAAATCAGGAACAAGACAAGGATGGCTGCCACCACATTATAGCTTCGCTCGGACAGCTTAGAAGCCAGCTCAGGTCCTGAAGTCCAGGGGTCCTGTGTGGTGACCCTATTTTCTTATCTAATTGCCTGTTTAATCATTGGCATGTTACTCCCTGCCCCTTAGTTTTCTCAACTCTAAAATGAAGATAATGATAGTATCCCCCAGATGGGATGGGAGGGTTGAGATGATCTCATCATGTGCTAAGTAGAGTGCCTGGCCAATTCCTTCGCACTCACAAAAGTTAGTTTTCTAAAATTTTTGGTCATATACACATGAGGAAGTGGCTTAGAGAAGGGTGGACTTGGCTCAGAGGACCTGAGTTAGTGAATGTGAACTCTGGCTTTGGGACTCAGCCCAATACTTTTCTCACACAACTACCTGCAACTTAAAAATGGACTTGGAGGATCTGAAACATGAGTGGCAAAGAGCAGAAATAGATGTGATGTCCAGCACAGGTGAACCTGCCTGCATGCCCAGAGTGCAAGCACTTGTGCTTCCTAACAGCAGCCTGCCTTTCAGAGTGACTTGCCAAGAACTTCTAGCACCTTCCACCTTAGTGAGGGCAGCTGCAGATCAGATAGGAGAGAGTGCCACAGGACCTCCATCCCAGCCTTCTCTTGTAACCCACTTCTAGAAGGAAGCAGCAGGTCTCATACCCAGAATCCAGAGCCACCTCCGCAGGGTGGCTTCTCGAGGTGGGTGTTGTTACAGGTTTACTCTCCCAGCCAGGACAGTTTGCAACTTTCATCACCAAAACCACAGTTCAAGCTTGAAAAATGTAGTGAACTTAATTCTGTGGGTCTTGACTCAGAGCTTTGAGCATCTTTCCTTCACATAAACAAATCATGTTCGTTTTCCACACTTTGGTGGCTGATGATCTTTGAAGGCAGGAAACGTTGCTGATGTGGGAACACAAACAACTCTGGATGGGCAGGGCCCACTGCAGGGGCCAGGTGGCATCAGGAAATGTCTGTGAGGGGAATGGCTGGGAGGATGAATGAAATCGTGAACAGCTGCACATAGACTTATGTTTCCTTAGCATGCTTTTTTATTCTCATTGATTCATAAGAGAAGATTCACATCTGCTATGATGATGAAGGTAGATTTCCACTCCTATGAAAACCAAAAATAGAGAGTGAAAGCCCAAAAAGGAAGAGGCATCAGGAGGCCTGGGTTCTAGCTGCACTTTGCCAAAGTAGTTGTGTGACTTTGGGCACATTAGCTCAAACTCCAGTTTTCTGTGGAATGTTGTTGATGTTATCCACTCTGCCAATCTCACTGGAGACTGTATGGCAATTCTTTTTTTTTTTGAGACGGAGTTTTGCTCTTGTTACCCAGGCTGGAGTGCAATGGCGCGATCTCGGCTCACCGCAATCTCCGCCTCCTGGGTTCAGGCAATTCTCCTGCCTCAGCCTCCTGAGTAGCTGGGATTACAGGCATGCGCCATGGTGCCCAGCTAATTTTTTGTATTTTTAGTAGAGATGGGGTTTCACCATGTTGACCAGGATGGTCTCGATCTCTTGACCTCGTGATCCACCTGCCTCAGCCTCCCAAGGTGCTGGGATTATGGCGTGAGCCACCGTGCCCAGGATGGCAATTCTTATAGAAGCCTCACTGAGGACATGGTTCAATTCTTATTTATTCCTCTGTGCCTGAGTATGTGCCTGAGTACAGTAAACCACTCAATACATTTTGTTGATTAAATGAATAGGTATATTAAAGAGCACTGCAAAACCTAAGTAACTTTTTAATTTTCTTTTTATGTCTCTGTGTCTGCTACTATCCTGTGACTTTGCTGAGGGAAGGGAGGGTATCTTACTCACCATTGCACTCCTACAGTCTGTGTCAGTGCCTGGCAGGTGGTTGACTCTTAGTTCATGTTGTAAAATTAATGAACGTAGGCTAGAGGTGATACAGTGACAAAGAAATCCCAAATCTTAGGTCCTTCCCTTGTTCTAAGTTTATTTATTCTGAAAATTCTGTCTGGTGTTAAATGTATCTCAGTTCGTTTTATCTGTGTATCTTCTCTCTTTCATAAGCTATGAGGTCCCCAGGGAAGGGACCCTCCCTTTTATATTGGCAGTTTCCTGGCTCCTGAAGAGATGTCTTCAGTTTGATGGATGAAGCAAATGGTGCATAGGTTTGGCTGAATAATGCCAGACAATGTATACTTTAAAAAATAACATTCCCATTCTAAGCAAACTGACACAAGAACAGAAAGCCAAATACTGCATGTTCTCACTCATAAGTGGGTGTTGAACAATGAGAACACATGGACACAGGGAGGGGAACATCACACACCAGGGCCTGTTGCGGGGTGGGAGGCTAGGGGAGGGATAGCAGGGGGTGGGGGATTGGGGAGGGATAGCATTATAAAAAATACCTAATGCAGATGATGGGGTGATGGATACAGCAAACCACCATGGCACCTGTGGCTTGTAACAAACCTGTGTAACAAACCTGCACGTTCTGCACATGTACCCCAGAACGTAAAGCATAATAAATAAATTTTTAAAAAAGTAATCAAAGTTTATGTTAGAATATTTGGAGACTACAAAATAGTATAGAAAAGAAATAAAAAACACTCCCCCTCATACTACTACCCAAGGACGATTTAACATTAAAGAATTTTCATTTTATTTAAAGTTAGCAGGATACAAAGAAATGGAGAAAATTAATATCACTGTTAAGAGATATTAATTTCTAAATGAGATTTCACTGTCACTCTTTCTTGTTCTAAGAAAAGAAATATTAAGAAGTTGGTGTCCATGTGTTTTCATGTATCTTTCATGGGCATGACTTTAATTTTAATTTTTAAATTTAAATTTTAATTCATTTTATCCTCAGAACTCCATGATTTTGCTGATGGGAAATTGAGGGCTTGGAGTTAATCAGCCTGGTTACGATCCCACAGCTAATACACAGCAGAGCAAAGGAGGTTTGCGGTGGGTGTGTGGTGTTTTTTCCATCTCGGTAGATCTGTAAGGGACTTTGGAGAAGTTATCTAGTTTAACCATCTCATTTCAGGGACAGGAAACTGAGGCCAGAGTAGTTAAATGATGTTCGTGTTTCCCCAGGCAGTTATTAGTGCAACTGGGCTGATCTCTGAGTCTTATTCTTATTCTGGTGCCTTCCCCATAATTCTGACCTTGGTTATAATCACATAATTTATCCTGGGACTAAATCCTCTTAGCTCTGAAAGCTATATGCTTGGAGCCATTGAGGATGCTGATATTTACTCTCACCAGTGGTATCAACTTTGGTGTGCACAGGATCCCCTGGACCAGTAAATCTGTCTCCAGTGCTGGGAGTGTCAACAGTGTTGTATGTTAAGAGATGGTTTTGAAAAAACAAGAGGTTTAGATGACTGCTGGTTCCAGTACACCATAATGGTCCAGGCCATCATTCCCCCTCCAGCTTCTCCCTTGTCACTTGGAGTTAGAACCACAGGTGAGAAGGGGCTAGAGGGAGTACAGCTACTATGTTTTCTTAGGCAAATCATCGATGCCAGTCAGCAAGTGTGGGCACAGACCTTGTGTTAAGCCTTGGAGAACGTTTTCCTTTGTGTCTTCATTTTCAACACTAGCTTCTTGTTGTTTTTTAGCAAAGGTTTGGTGGTGCTCCTCAGGTTTCACCCTTTCAACATCTGAATGTCATTCCTTTGGCTGATTTTTTTCCTCCACCTTTTCGCTTGGCGATGACAGGAGAAACCGTTGGATATTTTAAAGTTGATTTAATGGCCCGCTTGCAAGAAGCCGCATTGCAACCAATCTGTTCTTAAGATTTGGAACTGATTCGATTCATCTTCTCAGATGGCTTATTGAAATCGTCTTTAGAATGTGTGTAAAATGGGTGTTGTGTGCTCTGCTGATGGCACCAGACCCAGAATTTCCATCCAGGTATTTATTTAATTGTCTTTTCTAATTCTCTCTACTGACACTCATCTTGAAGTTTACTTTTGCCATTTTGTTGGAACAGCACTCCACCCCTGCCCCAAACATTTAACTCCTTTCAGATAGATCCAAGCCCAACCCCGAAATTCCCAGGTTGGCTCTAAATCAATGCCAGACTATGCAGCATGTTAGTAATGGCTCACACTTCAGGGAGAAGGATTTTCATGAGTAATTTCAGAGATGCAGATAAAAGCGGCAGAAAGCCCACACGCAGGCTATAGTAATCATTTCTAAGACAGATAGAAAAGATATATGGTATAGAGGGGATAAACTCATTGTTGGAAATCCAAATGAATATCAGGAATGTGTGCTAGAAAGCCCGAGGTTCTCCAAAGTTAAGCTGAACTCTTTAATTACATTTGAAATTTGGTCCCAAGACAAGGGTAAAATGATGCAGGGTCTTCTGAAGGGAATGATGGTCTAGTGGTGTGGGCTATTTCCTGGGGCTTTCTTGTGATGGACTTGCTGCTCTTCAGAAAGGAGGGCTCATGACTCTGACACAGAGCAGAAGCACAGCCTTATATGTGTGTGGATCCTTCATGAAGGTGTGGGCAGTGGGCTGGGCTTTGCTTCCGCTTTGCTTTCCTTCCGCTTTGCTTTCCTTCCTATCAGAATCTATGCTACACAAGTGAGCATTTTATGAGACGAACTTGGGAAGATCTCTCCTCTGTGTAGCGGTTGGTTTTTTTCTCTGCAAAAGCAGTGGTGTAGAATGTAGATGCTTCCAGGGACCTTGTTCTGTTACCATTATGACTCGTTCTCTACAAAGATTTTGAAATCATAAAGTTGAAGGTACCTGAGAAGTCATCTGGTCTAACTCCTAGTTTGGTTAGCCTTTGCCATTTATCAAACCACATAAAATTTCAGTGGTTTCAAGCAAAATAATGTATGCTTTCTGAGAGTTCTATGGGCTGGCTGAGTCTGTCTGTCCTCTGCTTTCCCTGGGATCACTCAGATCACTGCTGTCTGCTTGAGTCCAAGGTGGTCTCCAAGGTCCCACATAGCCTCACTCACGTGCCTGGAAGTTGGTGCTGGCTGTCACCTGGAGGTTCTTGTTCTTCTCCACGTGACCTCTCATCCTAAAAGAGGCCAGCTTCCTTACGTGGCACATTCAGGGCAGTGTTCTATGAGGGGGAAAGCTGCAAGGCCTCCTCAGGTCTGGTCTCAGAAGTCACCAACGTCACCTTTGATGCATTCTATTGGACAAGGCAAATTATAAGGATCTCCAAGATTCAAGGGGATGGGAAGTAGACTCCACCTCTTGATAGTAAATTGGCAAAGTCATGTTGCAGAAAGGCCTGCAGAATAAAAGGAATTGTTGTGGTAATCTTTGCAAGCAATCTACGACACTTCTTAGTCACACCAACAAGAAACCAAGAGAGGTCATTGAAATAGGTCAGTGGCATGATCATGGTGAAACTCCAGCCATTCTTACTTCTCCAGCCTAGTGCTCTGTTCATTCCAGAACACACACTCCCCAATGGCCACTTTCAAGTTCATTCATCAACCATAATAAATATTGGCCATGGATTGCATACCAGAAACTGCTGCACATTTTGATGGATTCAATAATCAATAATAACTCACCTCTTTTCCTTCAAGTAAGCTATAACCTACTGTGCCAAGGTTGATATTCAAAAGGGTTAACTGGCCAACTTTTAAATAGGGCCATAACCTATTTCTTTAGTCTCTCTAAGAATGTGTTACAGGAGGAAATAAAAATCTCTCCTTATCTTGAGCTCAATAGGCATTACCATATATTTTAACCAAGAGAGTTGAGGTTCTTTTCTACTTTTCACAATCCTCTGTGCAGTAAGTTTAATAGATGAAGAAAGACAATATCCAAATTATCATAAATCTGTCAGCATTCTGTTTCAGAACAGAGGCAAATGGAGCTTCCATGTATCTGAAACGTTGTATATATCTGGATTACTGTTTTTATCCTTTAATGGGGTGGACCTCAGGGTCACATTTTATTATATGGATCTTAAAAATGTAGAGCTGGAGTTTCAGAGAAAAGGGTTGAGAGGTGACCTGAGTCAGGGTGGGACATTAACCTCTGACCTCAGAGACTGATGGATCTCAGGCAGCATTGCACTCTAAAGGGGAGGCCATTCTGGCACAGGGAGGGAGAGCAGACTCCCTGGTGTTTCATTTTCAGCTTTGAAAGGCTAAACTTAGGCTTGCCTTTGCCCTCTAACCTGCCAAGGCCACCCCATCGTAAAGCCCACCTTTAGAATATCTCACTTCCTCTTCTTGGAACTTATTCTGCTCTTCCCCATCCTTCTGGTACTTGATGCATATTTCTTCTCATCAGCTGCTCCATTTCATACCTGGCTTTCAGAAAAGAATCAGCTGCCAATCATTCACACTTCAGTGTGAGTGTCAGGTAATGGGTAAACCTGATAATTTACTGGGGGAAAAACCCCACCTCATTTGTGGGGCGAGGAATTCCAGTCATCATACTGTAGGCTCTAAGAACTTTGCTGAGTGTGTGTGAGATTACACCTGCCACCTTCTCTTCTTTTTACCCATTCAGAGAATCTAAGATTATTGAATAATACAATTTCAGGATTGAAATATTGGAATGGTCAATAGAAATATTGTTGATATTTCTGGGCTGGGCGCAGTGGCTCACAACTGTAATCCCAGCACTTTGGGAGGCTGAGGCGGGTGGATCACGAGGTCAACAGATCGAGACCATCCTGGTCAACATGGTGAAACCCCGTCTCTATTAAAAATTACAAAAAATTAGCTGGGCACGGTGGCACGTGCCTGTAGTCCCAGCTACTTGGGAGGCTGAGGCAGGAGAATTGCCTGAACCCAGGGGGCGGAGGTTGCGGTGAGCCGAGATTGCGCCATTGCACTCCAGCCTGGGTAACAAGAGCGAAACTCCGTCTCAAAAAAAAAAAAAAAAAAAAGAAATATTGTTGATATTTCTTATTTCATTGGTGAAAAAACTGAGACCCAGAAGTAGCGTCTTAGCTTGTTAAACAACTAGTTAGTGGCAGAGTTGGGATTCAAATGACAATCACTAGGTCTTTAAACAAGCAAAGTTGGAGCCAGATACTATTTTTCCTTCCTGAGAAATCCATCTACACAGAACTGGATGGTTTTCAGTTGCATAATCTTCATAGATTTTTTATAATGCAGCAAAGGTGAGGGGTAGGGTTTTTTGCACAAAAGAAGGGACTTCAGGAACTGAAAAGAAGCTTTGGGTTGCTGCATTTTTTGTTGTTGCTGATGCAACACACGGAAGTGGCATCAGAAAAGCAGCATTTGACTGATGGAGTTGGGCTTTAGCATTCAGACATAAGTGCATATGTGGTCTTGGCTTCTCTCATAATCTTCTTGTTCATATACTGAACGAAGAATAAGAACAGGTAATCTCTAAGCAAATCCAGAGGCTTTCTAGCTCTAGAACTGGGACAGATAAGATCCTGATTCAGCAACCAGAATGAACACAGACTTGGCATAATGAGGGGTGGTTATCAGCTGTTTTAGGGACAGCAAAATGCCAGTTTGTATAAGAGGAATGACTTATGTTGGCAACTTTTAGTAAAATAGGGATGATAGTTACTTTCTTGACACGATAAAATATGCCTATCAGGAACAAGAAAAGAATATTCACTCATGTCGCTGTCATTAAAAGTTCTCTAGAAGTGCTTGACAACGCCATTAGCACTTTGATGACTCTTGTTTTGGGAACTCCTTACACACCAGAAAATATGACTCTTAATTCTTCACTGAAGAAGTGGCCTTTTAATGGTAGAACTTTGGGCGTCACTGGCAAGCAAATAGGAGAAACATTTTAGAAGGGAGATTTCTAAATGGTCTTTAAGTAATTCTTTGACATCTTCCTATTGTGTTCTCGTTGGCTCATCTCCAAGGAAAGCCAGTTCAGAACAACTTCTCACTCACATTCTTACTGATTTGATAGGCAGGATAGCTCGAGAAAGGAGCAAGACTCACGAGAGGACTTCATTTCTCATCTACCTTTTGCCACCCAGGAGGCTGTGGCCAAGACAGTTAATACAACCAAACCCCTGTATGTTTTTATGAAAATAGATGTAATGATTTATATTCTGCCCATTTTAAAACATTGTTTTAAGGAGCAAATGAAAAAATGTGCATGAAAGTGTTTTACTTTTGAAGGAAATTTATAGATACAAGGGGCAGTTCCTGTTTGAATCCCTCAAGTCCGTGGGTCTTCATGGCTCCCAAGGGCCTGCACAGCTACACATCTGCATTCTCCCTATAAAACCACAGTCTTTTCCTAGGTGTGCACCCAGAGCCTGCACATTGACTCCCATACACCTAGTATGTGTGGCTTTTCGCATAAGAGCCAGCCTGGAATTGCGTTAGCAGAGCAGGTACAGCAAAATAGCCTGGGGCTTTGGAATTTTTAAAAGGGAACCAACACCAACATCTCTGAAATAAATTGATTTGGTTGAAACTCTTCCAAAGAAATTACCTTAATTCTGAGACTAAATATGCTGCATTCCAGCCCAAATGGACTTTTCTTGGCCAATCCCCTGAGAAGTAAACATTGAAGTTTAATAGGGAAAGGGCAGTGGAACTTGCAGTTTTCGCTTACTGATGTCACTCTTTGCTTTTTGAGCCAAAGAACAAGAAAATCCAACACTTCCTTCAAGTATGAAGGCATCGTGTGGGAACGCTACAAATATGTTTGTGGTTTCTATATATTTTATTTTAAAGAAAAACATAGAAATTGAAGAGGATACATTTTTTTCAGAATCTTGACAGACATATGTGTTTCTTCCGAGAGGGGCCCGCCTGGGAATCTTGGCTGTCTAGTAGAAAAGGCTGTCTTTTTATTCCTCTATTAAAAAATAAGAGGAACACAGAGGAGCTAAACTGGAAGGACTTAGTATTAAATCAGACTATAAAAATAAGACTCAGGAAGATTATCTGAGAGTCAAGGTATAGTCAAGCTTTCGAGATAAAAGACAAGTGCTCATTTAACTGGTGAGAGAGTGAGAAAATCAAGATCTAGAGGCTGTAACTTACCTAAATCAACATGGCTTCTGTCAGCAAGGCTTCACTGGAACCCAGGGCTAATTAGCACCAGGACTCCCTTTATCTTGTTTGAGAACAAATCCTTCCTTGATACAGAGAGAGATTCCTGGGGCCACCCCCAAGTCCAGAGTTCTCACACTGCCCTGCAGCATTTACTTTAAGTAATTACATGATAAGGCAGTGCCACCTAACTTTACCCATGGAGCAGTTTATAGCTCATTTCAAATGGCTGCTGATTGGAGTCAGGTATTCCAGGGCCTTTTTCTGGGCAGGCGAATCAAGCATTTGAGTTCAATGCTTAGAAGAGTTTGCTATTTGGAGGCTTCTCTTGATGATTTCCACTGGAGAGTACAGAATCCTTCGGTGAATTCAATTTGATTCCATAAACTTAAAAATGGACACTACTGAGCTAGGCAGATGCTCAAAAGTGGGGATCCAAAAAGGAGAGAAGGAGCAGTGGATGGCAAGAATTGGAGTGTGTTTATCCGCAGGTTCTTATATCTAGTATTTTAAAAAAACGTTTGCTGATTGCACATAGATGAGTAAACGTTTTACTCGTGGTAGAATTGCTGAGTTAGAAAGGAGGGGACAATCCACCTTCCTGGGGTGTGGAAAAGAACAAGGTCAAAGAAAGCTTCAAAGCTGATATTTGATCTGAGCCTTAAAGGAAAACACATTGCAGAGCAAATAATCATCCATTTGTCTATTTAAGTTTTGTTATTTAGGTCTGATACTTTAAAGGTGTGTCCCACTAGTATGTACATAAAGTACTCAAACCTCCCTGATATGGAAATGACCCCTGGGAGAGAGAGCAAGGCTCAGGGCTGCCCAGCTTGCTGGCATCAGAGCTTTGCTGTCTGCTTCTAGGCTGAGCTTTGAGCTTTGTCCTCAGTGGCTGGAGCCCCGACCTCAGGGTGGCCTCACCTGACTTCCTGAGATGCCCTCACTCGGGTCCCTGGGACAGGCTGTTGTACTTGGCCTCCCTCCACCCCCAGGGTATGCAATTACTCAGAAACTCCCAGCTGCTCCCAAGCCCCACACTGAGTTTCCAAACAAAACCTGTGAAAACAGATCTCCGGTGGCAGCTTTGGCCACATTTGGCAACTGTACACATCCTCAGTCCACCAGCAGGCTCTTGAGTCCCAGACGCTCTCTGCTCCAGATGCAACGTAGCCTGGATGGACACTGTCTTTGGGGTGTATCCAGGAAAGATCTGCCCGGGGAACTCATAGGTTCGGTGTTTTTCTTTTGGCTCCATCCAAACCAAATGGAGCTGAATGTCTTTGCAGTGCGCTCTGTCTCTTGCAAGTGTAGGCTTCTACCTCTGCAGTCCTGCAGCAGGAAAAAGGCTGTCCTTGTATGTGCCTTATCTCATGGAGATTGGGAATCCCTCTCTTCTTTTTGTATGGGGAACACAACACCGTATCTATGTTGGATCTCCTGGCCCAGGTGTCTGTCTTATCCATTGTTCTGCTCTCTCTGGGTTCAAATCTACCATGACTTCGCTTTCTGTCTTCTCATTCAGGTCACCACTTGCCTGCATTATTTTAGTAGTCTCCTAACTCTTCTCCCTTCCTACATTGCTTTCATCCTTTGGAAGCATTCTATTGCCAGACTTACTTTTCTGAAGAAAATGCCTCTGGTGACATAATTTCCTTGCTCAAAACCCTTCTAGGCCATCTTGCCTGCTTATCCTTGCCCAGCAAGACCAAGACCTTCTCTGATCAAGGCCTTGTGGCCAAGGGGATCAATATCACTTGTGCTCCTCCACCCACATGCAGAGACGTTTTCTGGAAGTGGCTGCCCAGCTGGGCCACTGCCCTGCTCCTGCCCAAACCTGAATCTAGAGCTACAAATAAAATATAAGCAGAGCCAGGTTGTTGAGAAAGGGTGTACTTCTTACCCTCTCTTTCTCATTCCACCCTTTGCAAACTGAGAAGTCATTCCCTTTTGGGTAAAGGAGGGATAAGGTGGAAGGAGTGTGGGTGTCAGAACACATCTTGGAGTCAAGAAGTTTGCTGACAAGAAAAACTTTGTTGTTCCGTTTCGTGAGGGAGAACTAGTCATTTATTGTATTAAGCCATTGGAATTTTTGTTTGTTTGTTTCAACTAATGTTACGTTGACGAATCCAGGTTTCAGTTGCCTTTCTAACTGTATTTTCCATGACTCTTATTTATCACCCTAGCTTTAGGCCATACTTGCTGTTCTGCATAAACTCTTCTTCCCCACCTGTGTGCACCTCACCCTCTCTGCGGAGGCAGCTTTATCCTCACCACTATGAATGCACAGTGCTCGGAGTGTCACCCAAGATGCAAGTGACAGCTTTGTACTCCACTCAGCTTCTCCGGGCTGCTGCAGCTACAGGGCAGGTTCCTTTGGTCACTTCATCTGTTCCTCTCGTGCTCTGCTTACTTCAGTCCACTGTGTATTATCAGCAGTGATTTGTGTCTCTTCTCTCCCTTGCCAACTTGTAAATTTCCAGAATGTAGGGGAGGTGATGTTTTTTTTACCTTCATTATCCTCATAGCTCTGAGGGGTCCTTTCCACTCAAAGCCTTGTATTTAAAGTCACCTTGCTTGTTTTTATAGAATTAATGATGAGGAAAATAAATGAATAGTAAGTGTAGGACCTTCTTGTGTCAAAATAGTAGGATCAGCAGTGTTGTCCCTGCTTCCCACCATCTCTACTTCTCCTCCTTCCCCTCATGTATGATGTGGTGGTGACAGACATTCCAGAGTCTCAGGGCTTGACTGCCTAGATTGGAATCCTAGCCCTGCCATTTGCCATGAGTTATGAGACTGTGGGCATGCCCTAGCTTCCGTGCCTATTTCCTCATTGTGAAATGGATAATAGCCGACCTGTTAGGGCTGTCTGAGGATTCAGTGGGGTAGTTAGTATTTCCAAAGTTCTTAGAATGGCAGTGGGTCACCAAGGCACAATCTGAGTGCTCATATTGCTAGGAGATCTTTGAGGTGTCAATTTTTCTGGCAAGAAACCTCTGTAGCCATTGCACCTTTGCGCAAGTTAATATCCTGAATCCAGGAAGAATGAGGTATGCAGACAAGTGAAAGGTGAAGAAGAGTTTTATTTAGTATTAGAACAGCTCAGAGGAGTGGGTAACTCCTTTCTTTGTAGGCAGGTCATCTCATTGTGTTCAACTCTCAGCAGAGAGGAGGTTCTGGAGAGGGTGGCTCCTCTCCATAGGCAAGTCATTTAGATGTCTCTGAAGGTCTCTGAAGTTCTCAGCAGAGAAGGTAGCTCTTCTCTGCCAGCAGGTCATCTCTGTGGGTCTCAGTGGAGAGGGTACTCCTTTCTGCAGCTGATCATCCCATCATCTCCAGCTACTAGCAGAGAGGGTACTCATCTCTGCAGCTGGTTATCTGGTCCTGTCATCTCTCTGCCCTCTTTGTCCTCTAGCTGCCCTCTGCCCTGCTTTGACTGAGCCTAGGGCTTTTATGGACCTCAGAAGTGAGGAAGTGCATTCTGATTTATCCACGGGTGGCTATAGGTGGTCTGGAAGAGGCATCACAAGTCCCTACTCCAGTCCTGGGACTGGTAGTCTGGCCCCCAGCCTTCAGGGTCTCCCTGGCCTGAAGGTGGGGCCTTTACTGGGCCCCTGCCCCCTTCCTCCCAGGACTCTGTCTGCCTTCTGCTGCCATTCAGGACCCTGGGGCTTGGCTCCAACCCCACTCCAAGATCAGAGCAGGTGCCAGGAGTGGAGAGGGGCCACACAATGGCCCCAGGCATGCCTCACTGCTGCAGCCAGCATGATGGCAGCAGCTTCTGCCATCAACCTCCCATGGCTCCTTGATACTTCCCACTCTCTGTCTATATATCTGGCCCTTCTTAGACTCTGAAGAATCAGGAACAAGATCAGTCTAGAGCCTGGATGGTGGATGGGTTTCCCCTGGTATGTCACTGACCCTAAGCAAGGGTCTGCCTGGGCCTGTGCAGAAGGTGATTCTGAGCCAGAAAATGAGCCAAGGCCAATAGGCCATCAGTACCATTGATTCAGGAGAGGAAATAGCAGCACATGTGCTAGACATTATCCATTCTCAAAAAAACTGGGATTTTACTAGGGATTGTAATTTAGAGAAATGAACAGTTTGTTGTAGAATTTCAAGTACATATAAGCAAAATGTTCACAATTCAGATGAATCACACACCTCAGAGCTGGAAAACCGTAATGATGATGTACTACATACCCTTATTTAACTCAGTGAGAAACCAATGCCTGAGGAGACATGACTTGCCCACAGTGTGATTTTTTTCCCCACGTGATCCACCAGCATCTGGCGCACTCATATATTGGAGATAGTGTAAATTGACATAATCCTTTTGGAAAACATTTGGCAATACGCATCAGGAACCATAAGCGTGCTCATATACTTTCACTTTGTAATTCTATTTCTAGAGCACTTCCTAAAGGAATATTCTTTAAGACAGAGAAACCTATAGGCATAAAGATGTTAATTGTAGTAGTATTTGTATTAACACAAAACTGGAAAGAACCTAATCTTTACCATTAAAGGGGTTTTTAAATAAATTATGACATATGTACCAGATGAACTGTTGTGTGATCATTATAAGTAATGGAGATAAAAATTATAAAATTATATAAAAGATATTTAAAAGATATAATGTTAAATATAAGGCAAGATATAAAAAGATACAGAGAGTAGGATTATAATGATATGAAAAATACATACCGGGGGAAAAAGACATGAAAGAAATTTAAGTAACTGTCACGTGGGGTTTTTTTATTATCTAAAATTTATGCAACACTCTTAACATGACTTTCATAGTATCTAATAAATTTTTTTTGAGACAGAGGCTCACTCTGTTGCCTAGGCTGGGACAATCTCAGCTCACTGCAGCCTGTGCTTCCTGGGTTCGAGTGACTCTCATGCTTCAGCCTACTGAGTAGCTGGGACTACAGGTGCACACCACCATGCCTGAGTAATTTTTATATTTTTATTAGAGACAGGATTTCTCCATGTTGGCCAGGCTGGTCTCAAATTCCTGGCCTCAGGTGATCTGTCCACCTCAGCCTCCCAAAGTGCTGGGATTACAGGCATGAGCCACCAGGCCTGGTCTTCATTTTTATAATGATAAGTTTTATCACTATAAAACTTTTAAAGGCTACTTGTTATCTTCTGTAGGATAAAAGAAAGGACCTCGGTCTATTATTCAGGAACCCAACATCTTTCCCTTGTTCTTCCTTTCTATCCACATTTCCCTAGACACTTTAAAAATAATCCCCACATTCCAGCCAACCTGGTGTTTGGCCATGCTCTGTGCAAGGAGGACACAAGGTCAGTGAGAAAAACACGGAGCTTGGAATTGGACCAACTTATTCCCCAACTTTGCAAATTGTTGGCTGGATGACTTTGAGCATGTTATCTATCCCCTTAGAGCCTCTGTTTTCCCATCTGTAAAGTGAGAAACAATAATGCTTA